AGGGGCGGGACCGCGGGGCCTGCGCGCCGCCAGCTAAGGTCGCGGAGTCGGGACGGTCCTGCGCCTGACAGCGGCCTGGAGCGCGACCCGGGCAGAGTGATTCCAGGAAAACTGCAACCCCAGCCGTTTCTCATGAAACACTGGGGAGAGGGAGGAGCAGGAGGTGGTCGCAGTCATTTAGGGCCAGAGCCAGGACCACAGATTCCTAAGGACAGCGTTTCAGCCTTAAACGGGGACCTGGCTGTGCCCCGCAGCGCGGGAGTTGCCGCGTCCCCGTGGGAGCGGGAAACCGAGGCGCGGGGGTTGGCGCGCCTTGTTAGTGGGGAACTCCCCGGGGCCTTCTCTGCTGCTCAAAGGCTGCCCAAGCGTGTGTTTTGGACCCCAAGATTCAGGGATACCGGGAAATGAAAATTTAAAAAGGTATTAGATGTTTTTAATGCCTGCGAAAATAGCTATTTTGGCTGAAATCAGATCTTAATTGGGCTTTCTTACACTTATTTACAGCTTAGTAGTTTAGTTTTCATCATAAGGGATTGAAGAGAGTGGATGACCCTCTAGGTTAGGGCCTCTAGTAGAAGTGAGGTCCTACCCAGCCTCTTTTAGTGAGCCCCCACCCCCACCCCTACTTCCCCAGGATGCAAATTCATTCATTCAGCCAGCCAGCCAGCCATGCATGCATTTGTTCACACGCACCCAAGAGCCCACCTATGAGCCACAGGGTTACCTGCAGCCCATGTGGAACCAAGGCATCAGCTCTGCCTTCCTCCTGTGCCCTACGCTGGGAGGCTCAGCGCAGCAGCCCACCCCACCCCCACCTGAATCTCGCACAGCTCCACCGATGCAGCTGACAGATGGGGACTGGCAGGTCCGCTGAATACAGTGCTCAGCCCTCACCACCCGCTTTGGCCCCCAAGTCCCTAATGAGGCCACAAAGGGATGCTCTGCCCTCACCCATCCCTCTCCCCACCTGTATCTCACACCCCAGGACACCCAGAGCTGGCTGGCCGGCTGTGGCCCTAGTTCAAAGGAAAGGGGCAGGGCCAGGTAAGAGGGGCTGCTCCTCCAGGAAGCCAACCTATAAATAGAGGCCAGAAGAAATGCAGGCTGGGCTCCAGGGTTTGAGCTCCAGCTCCACTAGCTTTGGGAGTCCTGCAGTCTGAATTATTGGGCGTCTCTGAGGCTTTTGCCTTTACTGCAAATCAGCAGCAACTCCATGGAGTTGGTTAATGCACTGAGGTGATGCCTGAAAACATGTGACCCACTCAAACCCCCCAAATCACTGTATCATCAGCTTCCCTAGAGCCCCGCGGCTAGCCCAGGGTCGGCGTCCCTTGGGTTTCCAGCGCTCTGAAAATTCCGAGTACTGTTCCCCGCCCGGGGCGCGGCGCTGGGTGCGGATTTGACCACCGGGCTGCGGTAAAACCAGGAGCGCCGGATCCTGGAGCGCCCCGAGCATGCGCGGTAGCCGCGAGCTGGCTGGGAGCCGGGGAAGGGGCGGGCGCAGCGCCTTCGCAGCCCCGGGCAGGGGCGGGCCCGACCTAGATGGGAGCTGCGTGGGGACAAACCGCGTGGGCCGCCCTCCAGGCCCGGCGTGACCCGGCACCCCAGCGAGCCACCCGCGTGGGTCGGGGGCCTCAGCGCACAGAACCCCCGAGAGCCCTGCACCCGGCAGAACTAGCCCGATTCTAAACGACAGCGAGTCAGCCGCAGGCGCCCGAGTTTTCCCGCTGCAGCTTCTGGGGCTGGGGCTCTCGCGGTCGTGGGTGGGAGAGCGCACTCTCCAGCAGCCCGTCGGTGTGTGCCCAGCAGCCCGCGCGTGCCTATAAACGCCCTGCCCTTTGCCATCTGGCACACAGACCCTCGCAGACCCGCAGGCAGGGGAACCCCGACGGCGCCCACGGGGCTTTTGCACGGAGCTGGCTGCAGGGCTCCGGGTCCCCGGGGGCGTGGGGCACCCTTAGCCGGGGCGTGTTGCTGAAGGGGAGCGAAAGACGGTTTTGAAACGGAAGATGAATGACACGAAGCGGGGTTGGCTCATCTTCTGAGACTTGAACGTGCACCCTTTCCAGTGCTTTGCAGACTGTAACTTGCAGGAATCACCTCGGGCCTCGTGGAGCTGCAGGTTGCGCTCTGGAGGTGCGCGGAGAGAGGCCGAGGGTCCCTTGCCACCCGCGCTGACCCGAGCGAGGGGCTGGCTTCTCCAACCGGTGCGGGAGCTTGGAAGCGCTAACAGCGAGAAGCACTCGTGGGTCTCAATCCAGAGTCCAAAGGGCCAGTGAACAGAATTCAGGAGTCTTACCAGCTGTGTACTCTGACCCAGGAGTCCAAAATTTAGCGGCTTGGAACAAGAACCTTTTATTATTTCTCACTGTTACGTGGGTTGCTGGTCTCCCCTGTACTAACCACTTCTGGGTGGGGCAGAGGGCCGGAGGCTGGGCTCAGCTGGGGTGACTGGGAAGCCTGTGCCCCTTTCTTTCAGCATAGCCTTCTGGGGGGACATGCCCACTGGCCAAGGGCAGCAAGCCTAGCGACGGTGTGGGGGGTGTCACCCACTGGGCGGGGGGACTCATGGGAGCCACTAAAGTTACAAATTTATCAGAAGGTGCATAAACTTGGATGGGGAAAAAAAAATTGTTTTTCTGTAATAGCCTCTAAGTAAAATGTATTAGTTTTAATACCAGAGATTGTGACACCTGTACATATCACGGATAGTCTTCTGTTAAGTTAGAATTGCTGCATCTTTCTGAAACCACATGTTATTCGATCACAAATTTATTTTTCTTATATCTTGATGATTGTATTTCGTTGTAATTTTCTTTTTAATCTTATGGATTTTATTTTATACATTTAAAAATGTTATCCTGAATAGGTTGCTTCCACCAGACAACCAAAACTGTCCATGGCACACAAAAAGCTTAAGAACCCATAATTTAGAAATTCATTTGGATGAGTGAAAGGCATTTCTATTTTCCTAAAAAAGGTTGAATGGTACCCTGGCCAGTGTGGCTTGGTTGGTTGGAGTGTCATCCCCTGGGAAGGTTCCATTCTGGGGTCAGGGTGCCTGCCTGGGTTGCAGGTTCAGTCCCCGGGGGTGAGTGTGGGAGGAGGACAATTGCTGTTTCTCTCTCGAATTGATCTCTCTCTCTCCCCCCATCACCACCCCCCCAAAAAAAATCAATAAAAATAAAAATTTTAAAAAGGTTGAATGGTGATGGAAAGGGAAAGAAAAGATTCTGAGCCTGGGTTAAAAACTAAATGGTATTAAATGAGACTGCAGTATTAATCCAGACACCAATAAGGTGCACGTGTTTGTGCTATTTTTATTTTGTTTGCTTGTTTTGATGTAGTTCAAGTCTTCATTTATTGTTGAATTCTTTTTTCCCCTGATGTTTAGCAATCTTACTACTGCCAAGCAGTTGTGATTTAAGCTCCCTGAGCCTTAGCTTCTTCATTTCAAAGTGAGATAGCATTGGAATAGAATGTTCACTGCACCTCGAAGTGTTTGAATCATCTTGAAATACCATTATCAGGAAAAAAAGACTATATCCCTATCAGCTATATATACAGCTATGTATTTCCCCCCTAGCCTCCAAGGAATAAAATTGATTACTTTCCCATGAGCATGACTTTTAAAAAACCTTGATAAACAGCAACCTGGCACACTTAAATTGGAACAAATGATACAGCTGCCATCTCAGAAACTCATCTGTTTTCCTATGTGCTGGAAGCACAGACCTCAGGCATTATATCAGACAGTGCACTTAGTCTTTCCTTGTTGGGGTGCCTCATACCATGAGACTTAATTAAGTTGAATTCGGGAACTATGAAGTGAGCCAATAAAAATAAGTGGCCTCCTGGTTTTCAAACAAATGAATACTAGTATCAAAGACAGAAATCATAGATATTAAATCCAATTTTTGTTTTCTAAGTCATAAAATTTAAAGGTGAATTTAGGATCTTCTAAAATACTAAACATTAAAAGCAAAGATAATTTGAAAAGTGCTCTTTAGGGCCTGAGAGTGAATGCTGAGCTCCAATGTAACGGTAAGGGTAATCACGAAAGTCATACATAGTAATTTTGCAACAAAGCTAGAGGCAGGCAGCGATGGGTGCCAGCCTCCTTTTACAGCAGAAGTAAATAAAGAAGTCACAGTAGGTTCAATTTAATAGAAACTGTCACCCTAAATCATAGTCATTTTATATACTAAGATGAAAAATGATTGTTTTCAAATTGCCTATGACTATACCTATGGTCACAAATAATTCAGACTTGATGGACTTGCAGAGTCTATGGCAGCTTTTCAACTTCTTCAGACTCAGAAACCACAGTTGGTTTAGGGTATGTGTGTATTATTGCTTGCATTCAAATGAGAAAGGTTTTAGATGGATATAGGAGTTCAGGAATCTTTTTAATCATGAAGAAATATGCGTGATGTAAGAAAAAAAATCCTTGTGAACTGGGGCCTAAGCAAGGCCCTTTAGAGTTGTAGTTTGGTGTTGAAAGGGTCTTAAAGCTCATTTCTTAC